GAAAATAGAACTAAATATTCTTTCTCTGCCTCCTGTATTTGTGTTGTACATGTTTCAGCTGAATTCATGAGTTAGCAGCAACCAACAAGAAAATATTGAAGCTGGGATACATTAACTAACAAACCCTTTTCCTTCCTTGTGTTTATCACTGACATTTTGTTCGGGAGGGCAGCTAACGGGGCAGCTCCAAGTTAAGGTAAAGGCCAACAAGGCATATGAAAAGGACCAGGGAAGAGACCTTTTTAGGATTTCAAATGCAGCCTGAGTCTCCTTGGCATCCTCTATATTGACAAATCATGTTAAAATGTTCAGATCTGATTTGTTTTCTTAGTTGTTCAGATCTCGAAAGGTCAGTAGATATGTTTTTTTTGAAAATACATTTGACTAAAACAAAGTGATACCCCTGGAGAACAGAAAAAAACCGAATACATTAAAAATACTTTGTAAAGACTCTTTGATTTCAATCTGTAGCAATTAGAGAATTCATCAATTGCTAAATTAGTTGACAGCTATTTCAATTAACTTGTTACAGCCCCTGTTTGATTTCTGCACTACTTTCACCCTGCTTCGTGTCACAAACTGCCTACCTAAAACATATACTGTAGCTTCCACCATTAAGCACCTACACATACAGTAGTTGTAAGCGACACATGCACCCTTTAGTATTGTAATTAAAGCAATAAGTTTGTGTTGGTTTCACAGCCCCCACCAGGGTTCCTCTCTCTCAAACCACTCGGGACGTCTTCCTATTAATTTAATTGGAAACACGGCTCTTCAGGTGAGCGTATCCCAGAGGAGCGGAGGTCATTTGTATTGTGTTATTGCTACTGTAATTCACACCAGATTACCTGCAAAATCCCAAAGTGTTGGACTCCAAAATCATTCACTGAAGCAACCCGGTTTCCCAGGAGCAGGTGTCTATAATTTAACGTTATTTTATTATAATAAGCTCTATTTATGAGTCACTATTTCCTGTTTCTTGCAGGACTTTTCTCCTATTGGAAAGTTTAGGTTTTTATGGCAACAGTCTTAGAAAATTAGAAAAAAACACTAAACACTAAAACTGCTTGATTTTGCTTTTGAAGCAGTTGAAACATACCGTCCTCCAATTAAGATTATTTTTGCCTATATTTGTTTTGTCAATTTTAGCATTGTTAGCACCATTTACTTACAATAGTGAAAAATAGTATTAAGATAAAGGCTATAATTACTAAATTGTGCTTTATTGTTTTAGGTCGAAAATTTAGCCATAATGAATTCTAAAACCCTCACAATTTGGTGTAGTTTATAGCTTTACAAATTATACATTACATTAAAACAATCTTTATCTTTTTATTGACTAGAACTGGCTTAGTTAAAAACATACACTTATCCAATCAAGCATTAGCATCACCGTGATCAGAAACCACAGCATTTCATTAAGTTAGTGTTTCGGGACTTGGAAGAATTCATATTAAGATTGATTAGCCTGAAAACTAATTAAATCACAGATGCTATCATAATGGAAATGTTATCACTTGCAGGAAAAAAAAAACAACATGTAGGAAAAGCCATTTCACAAACGAAAAGGTGAATGAAGCACATTGTAGTAGTTTTCTCCTTCACTGCACTGGGAGGACGAGGCGGAAGAGCAGAGATGATGGAGAAAAACCCATTTGACCCCGAGGCTTTCGCAGCTTGTTCTGATGACTTCCCCACATGAAACTTGCAAAAACTCACACATTTATATCCCACAATGCATCGCTCCTACACAGATTACCAGTGTTGTCATTTAGCGCTGACCTGGCACTGGAGTGGGAAACCTCAGCTGAGCCCCACAAGTTTGAAGCCATAGTCCTACTGTCATATGGCATGTGACTTTGTTTTCTATCACCGTTTTCATACCTGTGTTTTTTTTTAATTGTATGGTGATAAAGGTTGGGATGTTGTTTGGACCCGTGTCGGCTTTAAACCCCAAGAAAGGCCGGGGCGTGTCAAAATAAAAAGGTAAAATCAAACTTTTGGCTTTCATAATCAGTCGCAGTGCCAGATAATCACATTAAAATGGACTACGGAAAAAATAATCTTTCAAACATATTTTTTACAAGGACAACTTTATGAAGGAAAGAGCAGCACATGCAACAGCCCACCTCTGAAGATAAAAGTGTGACTTGTGTGTGGTTTATAACCTTTTTAACCAAGTCTGAGCAATGTTTTGTCAACATTTTCACCATTGAGATTTGAACCAATAAAGCAGGGGGCCCAGCACACACTCTTGGAGTAAGTAACTTCAGTATTGCCATTTCTTTGCTCCAGTTGTGAATATTTTGTTAAGTGGTTGTGAATTGTGACTTCCAGTAAAGCGCAGGGTCATTCTCAAATTACAGTGGGTAAAAATGTATTTAGTCAGCCATTAATTGTGCAAGTTCTCCCACTTCAAAATATGAGGGAGGCCAGCAACTTTCATCATAGGTAAACCTCAACTATGAGAGACTGAATGAAAAAAATATATATATTTGCAAATTTTGGTGGAAAATAAGTATTTAGTCAATAACAAAAGTTAATCTCAATACTTTGTTATGTACCCTTAGTTGGCAACGACAGAGCTCAAATGTTTTCTGTAAGTCCTCGCAAAGGTTTTCACTGTTGCTGGTATTTTGGCCCATTCCTCCATGCAGATCTCTGCTAAAGCAGTGACGTTTTGGGGCTGTCGCTGGGCAACACAGACATACAACTCCTCCAAAGATTTTCAATGTGGTTGAGATATTTCTAACACAACATGTTGCACATTCCCTGTTTACACATTTCCTGTCTTTCGCACAACCCGAGTGATTCTATTTATGCCAAACGTGACATGTACATTTCTAAATTGTGGAATCAATAAAGTCTCAAATTATCTTACCTCTATTCTCATACAATTGAACAGCGTCTTTAGTTGTAAGATTGTGGTCCAAAAACGTAGTGCTCTAGTCTTTAGCGAGTGCAAGTGTGAGGGTAGTGAATATGCATGAGCTTGTTCAGTGGATGTGCAGGCTGCCAGGGGCCAGCTGGTGCCGCGGAGCCGTAACTGAGTGTCTTTGTACATGTCACTTCTGATGTGCTTTTCAACAGGTCACTGTGCTTCTCGCTCGCTCAGGGACAACCATCTCAGCAGCTAATCACTACAAATCTACTGCACTTTATTGGTGAATTGCACAAATGTGTCTTGTTTATGACTACAGTTAATAATTATTATTGTGCAAAATCCACTCATCTTTTAAACCTATACACATTGTCCTTCAGCAAAATAAACTAAACAAAAAATCCAACAGTCAACCCGCTTGTTAAATCAAGCGGGTTTAGATTCTAGTAAGTGATGGAAGAGCAGACTGTTTAGGAAAGATTATTTAAAAGTATAATAATTAACTGTTGGTGACATTTCTCTGGTCAGATATGTTGGTGAGTAACAGAATATATATGTAAATAGAATATTTATTCAGAATACATTGTTGAATCTTATTATGTAATGCAGGATTTAAAGAGCGTGACATTTTATCTAAATTATATATATAATTATTCAATTGAGCAAGAAATTATTCTGATTGTAGAAAGTATCTTGAACATAGTCAGCTGCTTGTCTCCATGGAGATACAGTAAACGTGTTAATAGGTATTTAAAGGTAAAATTTGCATTAAACTTGAAACTATCCAAGTACAAGTGTTTTTATGGCATAAATATTCACCACTCCACAGATAGGATTTGTAATTTAGCTCACGTGCTTGATTATATGGTAAATGTATACAATGCCATACAGCAAAACTTTTCAGTCAAAGAAGACCATTTAGATGCATATGAGCAACAAGAAAGTGTGCAAGAAACAAGATTAAACTATTCACATTTCCACATGTATTTGTAAAGGCAGTCTGACCAGCCTTGGACTCATGGGTGTATGGGGTATATCTGGACGCTGATCCCTTTTAGTCGACAATGCAGCAGTTATTAAAGATGCCTTTGATTTGAGCAGAACTATCTTTGTCTCATTCTTATCCCAAAGACTGACACGCCTGATGTCAAAGTCCTTTTATAAATAGACTAATTTAAAAACAATGGGGACAGTATTGTGGTTTATTTTGAGCTAATCCTTCCCATATACTGTACATGCTTCACAAATACATCATCTGCTTCTGTCACTTCTGTCTTTATTGCTTTTGCTCTCACATTCTGAAGGACGCACACACATAACTTGAAAATATATTCTGCTTTATTTCAATCTATTCAAAATATAATGACACAATTTTGTCATTTCGTCTTTTAGGACGTGAAAAAACACCTTCAGTAGATAATCTATGGTGAAACAAGTTTGAAAGGAAAATAAAACACACATAAACACATTTATAGAAAACTGATGGATTTCAAATGAAAAAAAAAATTAAAATCCCCACTAAAGACGACCTTTGTGAAAGCTGTTTTAGTTAACATTGAGGTCTACGCAGAAATCTCCAGGGTCGCCCTGGTTATCTGCAGAATCGTCTAAGCTCAAATTGCCTAGAATGAGTCTTGTGTGTGTGTGAATGGCTGGTGGTGATGGTCAGAGAGGCCAATGGAACATACTGGTTTCCTTGCTTCTGTCAGTGTGCCCCAGGGCAGCTGTGGCTACAGTAGTACTTTATCACCACCGTGTATGAAGTGAAAAAACAATGAAGCGGGAAGAAGAGTGAAGCGTCTTTGAAAGTCCAAAAAAGCGCTAGCAATACCCTATCCAGATAATATTACACATCCATCTCACTGTCCTATGATGACCAACAGTCGTTTCACTTGTGACATTGCCAAAATTAATCTATGGGCATGACTTTTGTTTTTGTGATGTCAACATCCTATTACAGAAGCTAGAGTTTGAAAAAAATAAATAATCATCAGAGTTGATAATAGTGTAGATGGATCTAAAACACCTCCAGGTCTGTTTTTGATGAGGGAACAATGCTGCAAAATTTTTAACTGTTCATAAGTGGTCTTTTAATGTTCTTATAACAAGTACGACTTACCGATGTCATCAATTTTGATGCCTGGTCTGAGCGTGTAGTCGGCTTCCGTGGGCTCCTGCTCGTCGTCGTGTGCGTCAGAGCCTGAGGATGGGAGACAAAGCGTTAACCAGTGATGGGAATAACGGCGTTACTAGTAACGGCGTTACTAACGCCGTTACTTTTTTCAGTAACGAGTAATCTAACTAATTACTTGGACTGTAACTATAACGCCGTTATCATTTCCGACATCCCGTTACTGCGCGTTACTCAAGACGCACAACGAACTTCTCTTTTTACTTCGATAGGACTCGTGCGCGTTGTCATGAGAGAAGGGAGGATGAGAAAACCTCTCAGCAATAATTGGCTGATGTAAAACATATTTCCTTTACAATCTACATGTCTGCAGTTGAGAGGATTGCTCATAAATTGTGTTTTTGAAACAAATATGGGTCTTAATCACACTCTACCACGGCTTGTATCACCGTGAGGCCTCAGAGGAGCTCATGTGAGCGCAGAAGTCGGCTGCATACAATTCCATCGATAAGCTCCTTTCTCCTCCTGGTTTATCTGCTAAAGACAGCAACAGGTTTGGCTAACATACATATAACACATTTTTAGATAATCTAAAATGCACTTAGGGTAATTTTTCAATGACTTTAGGAATGATAAGAAAGAGAGGTGAAGTGTAAGACGGTTGATTTTAGAAATTGGATGCACCCGGCTGCAGCTAGCAAAAAAAAGGAGTTTACGGAGGAGACACGCGTTTTGTTTTACTTTTTAAAACTCATTGGACTCATTTCCAAATGGAGGATTACATATCTACGCCCAAACTATTATCTGGACTTATACACAGAATTGGTCTGAACCGAAGAGGCCTGTGCAGGTCATTTATAAGGTAAGACCCATAACTCATAGTTTTGCGTTTTGTATGAACAAACAATGCAGGCATGAAACATAATTTGCTGTGGCCAAACAAATTGTCCTGTTGATTTATATGATATATATGTTCATCTGATTGAGCTGAAGTCAGTGCCTCACCGGTGTTTCCACATTCACAGTGGCGGGTGTTGGTGTTTAGTGCTTACAGCACAGAGAGAGATGGAGAGTGAACAGGTTTTAGATGGAAATAATGGCGCTATTTAAACTCACTGAGGTTAAAGGTAAAACTGCGCACCTCAAGTGCACATTATGTTCTAGAACAAAACGAAAAAGTAACGCAATAGTTACTTTTACTGGTAACTAGTTACTTTTATTACTTTTTCAAAGTAACGTGCCCAACACTGGGGTTAACCCACCACTTTTGATTACATATACAAAAGCAGCACAGTGCAAGGGTTAAAAAGGGCCCCCTGGAGCGGGCAGGCGGCGGGGGCGATCAAACTGAAGGCCGGCTGTGGTTGTGAATGAAGAGGGAGAGAGGTGACCACTGTGGGAGTTAAAAGCACCGGACAGGCCTCAGATCAAAGGCTGTGTGTGTGTGTGTGTGTGTGTGTGTGTGTGTGTGTGTGTGTGTGTGTGTGTGTGTGTGTGTGTGTGTGTGTGTGTGTGTGTGTGTGTGTGTGTGTGTGTGTGTGTGTGTGTGTGTGTGTGTGTGTGTGTGTGTGTGTGTGTGTGTGTGTGTGTGTGCGCGCGTGTGTGAGGAGCTGTGTAGTAGATAGGCAGGAGAGAGAGGGATGAAGCATGTTTGTTATAGTGACATAGTCTGACTTGATAAATAATTCATAAAGAAACTATGTCATTTCACCGACACACTTACCCTAAAACATCGAATGGTCTTTTTCTAAACGTAATCTACAACATCAATTATCAATCATGTACATTGTGATGCCCTAGTAGAGGCAGAGAGAACAAAAAGATGCAGAGTAGGAATGGGATGATAACCGTGGACGGATTATAAAGCTGCGATATCTTTTCCTGCGCTCCCTTTCTTTGATTGTGTTTGTGGAATAGGTGGCACTTCTGACAGGCGAGAGTTCACAAATAGACTGCATCTCAAATCAAATATCTACTTGGTGAGCAGTGTTGGGTTGTAGTGGAGTACTGAGAATAGGCATAAACATATAATTGTATTTGGTATACTTGACTTTTTCCTCTGTGATATTCAAGGTTCAAAATTCAAGGTTATTATCCCTGCGGGGCATTTTGGTTGCAGCAGCAGAAAGGTACAAATATACACAGAATACATTTTGGTATTTGCACATGTAATTTAGGCCGGACAAACTGCGAAAAAAAATTTATTGTGACTTTTAGTGATTTGTGTGAGTGCTTTATACTTGTGTTATTGGAAATGCATAACTGAGAATGATGTCGATGCTTCTTTGTTTGTTTATACAGAAACATTAAGGCGATCTATGTTCGTGCTCCTCTTGTTAGAAGTAAACAGTGCCAAGCATAGACAAAGTTTCCTTTTCCTACGCTGCATTTTTACTCTCTATACCAGCCATTCCCAAAGTCAGTAACACCGGGGCGCCCTTAAAAATCTGACGGGTCTGATTTTTAATAACCAAATAGACAACGTTAAAAATAGGCTCTTCTCGTTATTTTATTTGGGGGAAATAGTCTCTGCTACAAACATGTAAATGACGCACCCCATTTTGTAATACAAAAATGATTACAATTTTATTATTCGAATCAAATAATGAACACAAAGATGTTAATATTACAAACAAAATATGATTAATTTGACATACAATAATTATATAAAACATTATTTTTTTGACTTCTCGCGGCCCCCCTGCAATACAGGCAAGGTGCTCCGCTCTGCAAAGAGGACCGTGGGCTGTGAGCTTCCTGTTCTGGAGGTTCTTTACAAATCCAGACTTTTAAATAAAGCTCTTAAAATCATCGGTGACTCTTCTGGCCACCCTGGGAAAGCCATGTTCCAGCTTCTTCCCTCTGGCAGAAGATACCGGTCACTGAGATGCAAGACATCTCGCTATGCTAACAGCTTCTTTCCACAGGCTGTTAGGTGCCTAAACAGAGCATTTTAATTCCTGCTTTTACCTGCTTTTAAACTGCTTTTACCCCTTGTATTGTTTTGTCGATCGGTGCCACAGTGTCAGCTGTTTTTTTTTTTTTTTTATTTATTATTTTATATTCAGTGTATGTGTATTTATATTACATTGTATCGTGCTTTTTATTCTGTCGGTGCACACAGAGTACCTCTTTTTGCATGTATTTCCAATGTAGTTTTACTGCACATGGCCAATAAAATGAATCTGAATCTGAATCTGAATCTGATACCCTCGGGCCGCGGACCCCACTTTGGGAGACACTGCTCTATACTATTCTGCAAAAGAGCATAAACATATTCAGAATACATTCCTCTGATTGGACCATGTAACAGAATATGTTACAAAATACTTTTTGGAGCATTCTATCATTAAATACTGTACGTTTTCAGGATCCTCCCAAACAGATTAAGGAAGTTCCTCTAGGTTTGGATTTTAATACAATAGGTACAATAACAAAAACAAGGAAAGAGAAGAAAAGATACGGTCTTGTTTAGGTATTGGGATGCAACCCCAGACTTCTGATCATATTATTGAATGGACGGATTAATCTGTCAAACCATTTCTGCCAGTCCGGCTCTGTAGAACTATTCAGCGTAGGAGACTTTTTACCCATAATACCCAGCCAGGACTAAGAAGCTTCACAAGCCCATATATGGCTCATATCACACACCTCCACAGTGCACTGGGGTGTTTCTGCTCAGGATTATCATAGCATGGTAACGTCCTTCCTCCCTAGTTATACGCGCATACACAAATCAGCTCAGTGACCGAACACATGACTACTGACTCAGAGAAGATTACATTGCCTTCAAAGATGCATCTCTCTGAAGTGAAGGGGAAGAGGGGAGCCAGAACAAGATGGGATCAGGGGAGAAAATGCCAAAAGGGGAAGAGCATCTGGGTGTATTCAGATTGGAAGGCGCATGCAGCCGCCACACTGAGCACAGGGGGCGAGGACGGAGAGGGAAAGGCCACAGACACTCACCTGTGGGGCAGCAGACGTACACCCGCAACCTCAGGCAGCTGCGGCCATGGTGGTGCGTGGGAGTGGCTATAGGCACACAAAAATAAACACGTAAGACATTGATACAAAATTATTTCAATTTAATGTTAGTCAAGGCAAGGCAAGTTTATTTGTATAGCTGTTGATGATACATAGTGTTTTTTTTTTTTTTTTTTTTTCGTCACAAGGCAGCGCTAGTGTGCATTTAATTAGGCTTAAAAATATTAGATTTATTTTAAATGTTGTACATATTTATATATTCTTTCTGGTTATTAGATTAGTATTTGTTAAGTTAGAAGAGCGATAATAATTTAATTGATTTAGATTCATATTTAAAATGTTTTTTAGGTTTGCCTTGGAGAACGCTTCTTCCGGTTTGCAGATAGTTTAGTTGTATGTGAAGTAGGGCTGGGCAATAAATCGAATTTAGGCAATTAATCGGCTTTTGAAAAAATCTAATTTGTGAAAAATGTGAAAATTGTGAAATCGAATGAAGGATATTGTGAGAGTTCCAGCAGCACATGGATCATATTTGCAATATCAGCACAGTCTGTACAAGACTTTTATAATACGTATTGGGGGAAACAAATTAAAATTAAAGCCGCAAGCGGCGTCGAACGGCCCTCGCCGCAACGCGCGACTCCCCGCACCGCGCGCACCACCCCGTTCCACGTTGGCCTGCACCAAGCCACCCCGCACCAAGCCACCCCGCACCACGCCGCCCTGCACCACGCTGTCCCGCCTCACGCCGCCCCGCACCAAGCCGCACCAAGCCGCAATGCGCCGCTCCACAACGCCCCGCACTACGCCGCACCACACCGTACCACGCAGCACCGCTCAAAGGAGGTGGCGCCGTTGTGTGATGATTTGCTCCCGTAGCCATAGAAGATTGTTAGTCAAACTGTAATGAATATGATAAGTAGAGCTGGTTTGGCTCCCCATTTAAACTTTGACTCAGTCTTTAGGGGGCGCTAATGGGCCAATTTCAAATATTTCACTTTTTACCTGACCTAAACCCTGGAGTTGAACAATGGATTCAAGTTTAATGAAAATCAGTCTTTGTTTGTGCAAACGGGGAAGAAATGTATGTTGTGAAAAACGGCCAAAAAAACCCTCACATTTTGCCGCTCCGCTGCTCAAACAACGTTTCACTGATCAAAAATCCCTGAAGTCATTTTGAAGGTAAATGTGTTGAGATGATTTGTAACAATTTTGAAGCCAATCAGTGAAACGGCCGAGGATGAGTCGCTTTCCAACCGACGTGTATGAGAATGATTGGTTTTAATTTTTCCATTTTGCAGTGAAATTTATGGGCTTCCTGTTTGTCGGAGGGATTAGTCATAATTAGATTTTTTCCATGTCTTGACTTGAGGAACATGTGTACCAAATTACATGGTTCTACGAAAATTTTGACCTCAAACCCCTCCCATAGGCATTTTTAAATTGGCTGTTGTAGGTGGCGCTATAGAGCCAATTTCAAAATTCTAACCTTCAAATTACCTAGACCCAAGAGTTGAACCATGGATTCAAGTTTTGTGCAAATCAGACTTTGTTTGTGCAAACGGAAGCAATTTTTCTATTGTCAAAAACTGAAAAAAAATACGCCACTTTCTGGCGCTCTGCTGCTCAAATAACATTTCACTGATCAAAATTCCCTGAAGTCATTTTGATGGTATATGTGTTGAGATGATGTGGAGTGATTTTGAGGCGAATCGGTGAAACGGCCGAGACTGGTTTGATGTTTGTGTGAGGTGTACATTTGCAATGAATGGGGCGCATTTGTCGTTGCCGCGGCAACAGGGTAAAAAATAAGCCTTGGACCCTATTGACTTTTTGAATCAAGAGGGCAAAACAGATGTATGTGCAAAATTTCAAACATTTTGAAAAAACTGAATTTGAAAATGCCCATCTAAAACGTTGAAATAGTCTGTAGGGGGTGCTAATGTGTCAATTTGAATAAATTAACTTTCAAATGACCTAGACCCTAGAGTTGAACAATGTATTAAAGTTTTGTGCAAATCAGACTTTGTTTGTGCAAACGGGAGCAAATTTAATGTTGTCAAAAACGGCCAAAAAAAGGTCACATTTTGCCGCTCCGCTGCTCGAACAATGTTTCACTGATCAAAAATCCCTGAGGTCATTTTGAAGGTACATGTGTTGAGATGATGTGGAGCGATTTTGAGGCGAATCGGTGAAACGGCCGAGGAGGAGTCGCTTTCCAACCGACATGTATGAAAACTTTTGCTGTTCATTTTTCCATTTTGCAGTGAAATTTATGGGCTTCCTGTTTGTCAGAGGGCGGGGCCATAATAATATTTTTTTCTCGTCTTGACTTGAGGAACATGTGTACCAAATTTCATGGCTTTACGACAAACTTGATCTCCAAAACTCCCATAGGGGTATTATTTTGGCTGTTGTAGGTGGCGCTGTTCAGTCATTTTTTGAGTCCCATAAAAATAAACACCAAAATATCAAATTTTTCGCCAGGTCTGATTTTTGGGCAAAATTTAACAACTTTTCATGCATGTTCAGGGGGTCAAATTAAGGCTCAAAGTGCAGAAGAAAAAAGAAAGAAAGAAATAAATAAAAAAGGAATTTTTTTTTTAACGTCTCGAGCAAAAACAATATAGGTTTCAATGGCACGTGATACATCATTTTAAAGCGTTTGAGTTTACGCACGCAACCGTCACGTTTTGGTGAGTGACGGGCGCTGACGCGTCCGTCACGTACCGCCACCATTTGTTTTCACCATTGTGAAAGCAATAGGCCCTTACCCCGTTCGGGGCTCGGGCCTAAATAGTTTTGAAACTTGAACATTGAGCTGAAAGATCAAAGAATATGTTCAAGGGTAAAGTCTGTCTTCAGTGACTTTAATGAAAATCTATTGTATCCCCACCGCTGTCAGACTGTACAACAAGTCACTTTAAATCACTGCATCACTGCACTACTATTGACACTGTTTCTTGATTGCCACTTTTTTGTACATAATATCCTGCATGTAACATGTTTGCACATTTCTTTCTTTTTGCACAATCTAGAGTGTTTCTATCCATGCTAGATGTGACATGTAATTTTCTCCTGTGTGAGATTAATAAAGTATATCTTATCTTATCTTAAAATCAAAATTGTCCAAAGCAGGAAATAAAAACAAGATTTAACTTTTTTGCCATATGGCTCAGCCCTCATGTGAAGTTGATGATGTTGAAGTTGATGAAGATGGACCCGACAAAGTGGCAGAGTAAAGATTTATAAAACAGTCCACCAGGTTGTTCCCCAGCAGGCCAAAGTGGTGTGATTACGGTAAGTGTGAATTAATCATTTGTGTTAATTGATTGACTGCGGAACCTTCCGCAGTCAACCATTGGTTTTGTATTTCTTTATTCCGTCATTTTTTTTGACACGTTTCACAGCTTTCACATTTTCAACAATTTCCACAAGTTATACATCAAAACGTTCCACATGTTTGGGAGATTATTGCTATTACTTTTGGGACTTCAGCGATTTCCGGTTTTTCCGCAATCGGACAAAAATCTGCATTGAGAATTCTGCAATGCATTTTAATAGGCCCATGCATTTTAATAGGACTTCAGCTCTTTCAGACATTTCTACAGTTTCAATGATTCAACAGTTTCAAGGATTCAACAGTTTCAAGGATTTCAGCAGTTTCAAGATTTCAAGAGTTTCAAGGACTTCAACAGTTTCAAGGACTTCAGCAGTTTCAAGGACTTCAGCAGTTTCAAGGACTTCAGCAGTTTCAAGGACTTCAGTGTAATCATGCAACCTAATAGGGATTTTTCCATGTAAACCAGTATAATGCAACTTAATAGGGATTTTTCCATGTAAACCAGTATAATGCAACTTAATAGGGATTTTTCCATGTAAACCAGTATAATGCAACTTAATAGGGATTTTTCCATTTAAACCAGTATAATGCAACTTAATAGGGATTTTTCCATGTAAACCAGTATAATGCAACTTAATAGGGTTTTTTCCATGTAAACCAGTATAATGCAACTTAATAGGGATTTTTCCATGTAAACCAGTATAATGCAACTTAATAGGGATTTTTCCATGTAAACCAGTATAATCCAACTTAATAGGTTTTTTTTTCATGTAAACCAGTATAATGCAACTTAATAGGGATTTTTCCATGTAAACCAGTATAATGCAACTTAATAGGGATTTTTCCATGTAAACCAGTATAATGCAACTTAAAAGGGTTTTTTTCCATGTAAACCAGTATAATGCAACTTAATAGGGTTTTTTACATGTAAACCAGTATAATGGAACTTAATAGGGGTTTTTCACATGTAAACCAGTATAATGGAACTTAATAGGGGTTTTTACATGTAAACCAGTATAATGCAACTTAATAGGGATTTTTACATGTAAACCAGTATAATGCAACTTAATAGGGATTTTTCCATGTAAACCAGTATAATGCAACTTAATAGGGATTTTTACATGTAAACCAGTATAATGCAACTTAATAGGGATTTTTCCATGTAAACCAGTATAATGCAACTTAATAGGGGTTTTTACATGTAAACCAGTATAAAGGATAACAGTTTAAAGGATATCAGGAGCTTCAAATACTTCAGGAGTTTCAAAGATGTTTAAAGTATTTTAACAGTTTCAAGGATTTCAAGGATTTTTCAGCTAAATTCCACATTAGATCTGTTCCGCAGTCAATCGCAATGGCTTCAGCCATTGCAAGTTTCTAGTTATCTATGTAAAATATCCTAAGTTGTGCCATTTTGTGTTTTTGCACTTTCTACGGTGTAAACTGAACAAAGAAAGTGCACAATATAAACATCAGTTATAAAGAACTCTAAACTGAACTCTAAAGCCTCTCTGTGTGTTCGTGACACACAATACACAAGGCAACTCAAAGTGCTGAACAAAACAAGACACAAACAGTCACACAAGGCATTAAACTGATTGGAAATAATCACCGTACATTAAAAAGAGTGAAGATAAAATCCCTCAGTTGTACGCACAGCTAAACAGAACTGCTTTTAACCTGGATTTAATGCACATGTGCACATGTATGTGTATGTATCATGCATAAGTCACTAGGGATGTGCCAGTCACAATAACTTGGACAGCGGTGATGATCGAGGACGCTCAACTTTCAACAACATTTATGGACTTTATCAATATTTAGGACATTGATTTGATTCTCTGATCCATGGTCTTGGTGAATTCAACGTTTTGGAATGTCCTCCGAGATAACTACTGCAAATAAATTGAATTGAATTGAATTAACGACTACATCCATTTTAATGAATAAGAGCTGGAACAACATATTTTTGGACTCTTTATTCACTGTGCTTCCAATTTTTTTGCAACAACGCAAAATTTGGGAATTTCTTTGCTGTGTTTTCATTTGCAGAGAACAAAACAATTTGTTAAAGCTGGGGTACCTAACTTTACTATACATTTTTCCATTGTCCCAACGGAAAGAGTGATCAAATCAGACCACAACATCTTAATAAAATACGTTATTGTTTTGAAACTTGTAGGAAAAAGCCCTGAAAGTCATCAATTGATGCTTGGGGATGAGGGCTGAGAGTTAGGTACCCCAGCTTTAAATGAAAGAACCGAGTTACACCTTTTGGAAAGCCAAGCGGTGCAATGATATGCAGTAACATCCATCATTTATAGGTAGAAATCGTGATGAACGTTGCAGACAGTAATAGTTCATAGTTATAGTAATAGCCTCAAGTTTATTTGAACTCAAATAATAATTTAATCAGGATCTTGACTCATATTTTGGAAATTAGGTCTCATCCCACAACTAATAATGAAGATAAAGTGGGTGTGGAGGGATAAGGCAAATGGAACTGCAATGCGCCTGCCCACCTCACGGAACCAGAATTGAAAAATCCCTGTTCTTTTTCCCTTGAGGACCTACAGTATGTGGGGGAAATAATGGGATTTTACATCCCACCCCGCAGCTCCATGCCATCCTTCATGCAATCATTGTTTAGTCCTGATTAAGATTAAAGATAAGGAGATCCTTTAGTCGGCAACATTGGGTAAATATCAGATGTATCGCAGTAAGGACAGTGTTCAAGTACATTATCAGGGAGTCAAATTTTATTTGTATTTTTCATTTAACTGACACAAACAAATGATCAATATTCTTTTTTTTTTTGACCTTCGTTTACCCAGGAAAGTTCCATTGAGATTTCAGAATCTCAGGCCCCAGAGAGAGGGGGCTGTAGTGGAGTCAGGAAGGGTGTTATGGGGAAATATTCTACCACCTATGTGTTAGTTAGAAGAACCCAGAGCACCAAAGAAACCGAGGTAGACACAGGGAGATCATGCAAACTCCACGCAGAAAGGTCTGGAGGTGGAATTAAACCCAGAAATTGCTAAACACTGCGCCACCGTGCAGTCCAGCGGTTTCCTTCGTGTTCTAGAATTGTATTTCAGTTGGATGGAAGGTGCCAATACAACCTTCTATGGAGAGAAGGAAAAATCCAAATGTGTTCCCAGAATATTATTTGACAGATTTGTGATTATTCACAAATCTACCATATTATTCCTTTGCCTGAAAGTCATTTCTACTGACCAAGATCATGCAAATATTTTTGAAATACTGTCACCACCACTTTATGAAAATAATGAATAATAAAAATAAACTAAAATATGATATATTGACAAAGAAGATATGAAACTTTGTGACAGTTTCGGGTATATTTTTTGTGTCAGTGAAACAAACTCTAAATATGACTTTTGGCAGAGACCATGGCTCCTTGGAATCTTTCTACTGCCCCCCACCACACATTTAAACTCTATGCTCTTTGTAATCTTGTGACATCACACGAACACCAGTAAAGTCTAAGCTGGACTCACAGATGTAGTAGTACTCCTGGCCCACGTTGAACTCGTAGCCCAGGGAGAAGGCGCTGTACCGCTGGAACTTCTCAGAGAACTTGATGGGTGCATTGGGGGCGAGGGGCCGGTTACACTCCCACCGTTTGAAGCCCATCCCGGGGTCACATGAGCGGTAACCACGGTAACTGACCATGTAGAGGACGTACTGCTCGCTCGTGCCCACCATGCGCGTGCTGTCGTTGTAATGCGGGCAGTAGATGTCCAGGTAGTCGTTGACGTTCACCTGCATGGTGTAGCCCTCCTTCCGCAAACTGGAACAACAGAGGAAAGTGTATGTGGTTAGACGTACAGTAATATGCATAAGACATAACATGATCTGTGATAAAAGTAGAGTTTAGTATAGTCACGGGACAGGCTGATGTTAAAGTAACAGTTATCAAACATTAAATACTTGCAGATTCATAATAAAAAGAGCAGACATTTGCAATCACCTAAATCAGCAAAAATCAACTCTCAGTCTTTCATGTTCAGACAAAATAAAAGTTTGAGGCCCTGTTTCGATGGAGACACTGCAAAGCAATGAGCAAAAACAACCAGGCTCCTTATTTAAAGTGCACAGCGTTTACATGACGACGGAAAAGTATGTATCTGTTTCTCAACACTTGCGTTTTCGCCCCTCTGAAACACCGTCTCCATGTAAACGAAAGGCCAAACCGAAACCCAACTCAACCGTTTTACTGTCGCAGCGTCTCCGTGCAAACACCACCTCAGACAGTTTTCCGGTCCGCTTTAAGTATAATTTTCAAAGGTAAACTTTCACATCTGGATTGCAGTTAAAAACCACATTGGAATAATTGTGCAAAATGTGTCAATAGAGAAAACTAAAAACATAGGATCATAGAAACACATAGGAAAAGGAACAAATATTTAAAAACTAGCACATACAGTAATTGCGGGACTATTAGCCGCTACTTTTTCAAGCTCTTTTAAGGCAAAGGCAAGGCAAGTTTATTTGTATAGCACAATTCATACACAAGGCAACTCAATGTGCTGAACAAAACAAGAAAGCATTAAAATCATAAATGATAATAATTTTAACTCAAATATAGCGATGTGACAAGAAAGTGTTGGGAAAATACAAAGGGCTTGTTTTTTATATGTGAAAAGGACTATAAATGTTATAGTCCTAATAGTTATTACATTAAAAAGAAAATAGTCCTCTATCGTTTCATCGTTTGGCTCAGCTGTTGTTTAAGATACATTACAAGATGAAAACCTTATATTCAAGTGCGACATCAATGTTTCTCTCTAAATTTAGCTGGTGCAGTTTACATACAAGTGCACTTAATAGTCCACCAGGTACTGTAATGCTAAGTGCTAAAAGAAGCTATGAAGAAGCTGGAACATGGCCAGAAGAGTCAATGATCATTTGCAGATATTGATTTAAAAGTCTAGAATAATAAAGAGGCTCCAGAACAAGCAGCTTACAGTTCACTGTCCTTTTAGCAGTGTATCTTGTTTACCCTGTTGCCAAACCAAAGTCATGGCAACAACAAGCAGGCTTTCTATGGTGCAGCGATAGACGTTAAGCAGAATGTTTATCCCAACTTTGATCATCATAATATAATCTTTGTCTTTAAACACCAAAAATCCTATTCTCAATAAAATCAATTTTGAAATTTAACAGTGAATAAATCATCTATAAGAAAACTACCATTAATACAATAATTTTGAAGGCATAAAACATAAATAAAAATTCTGCATTAATGATCACCGTGAAAATTATTGCCCTATATTTTTAATTTCGTCAAAGCAGCCCAGATTTTCAGCACTTTTATACGCACATCAACATCAGCCCAAGTTTTTTTCTGAATTGAAAACATTTGAAATCTATGCAACGGAAATGACCGGCTCTTTGAAGAAACTGATTGATGCCTTTTGTTTTTTGTGTCTTGTTCTCAGCTACTTTTCCGTTGCCCTCTTGAGCGACTTTGACAAAGCTTCTTTCTGTTCCGTCCTCCATCTTATTTACAGCTCAGAGCAGATGCGTTTGGCCCGGCTCCTGCTCTTCCTCTTGCTGCACAGCCGGAGCATCCAGCTTTAGCACCGAAACCCCAGGGCCTGAGCCTCGTCTCTGGGTGTGATCGCGCCACTGTCCCCTAACCCCAGCGCTCGTACATCACCCAGAACGCACCAGTCAGACGTCCACTTTTACCCCCGCTCCAAAAAACACATACATCATCCTCAAGGCCTAAAAAGAGCAAATATGACAGAAAGATAAGCCTCCGGTTCACGGCCGCGACTGACTGACATAATCATTGTGTGAGCACAGTCCCCCAGGCCCATTCTGATGCTCCTTCAATAGGCATGTGTGACAAAGAGGGTGGCTGTAAATCAAATACTGGACACTGAGCAATGAGCAATGGACAGAACAGTGGAGCACATGGACGGCTTCAAACTTTTAACTAAGTATATACACTTTAGTACGTATAATTCGTTGACTGTTTGAACAATTTGACTATCCTAAAGATTACAAAACAAGCCTAATTACTGTAACCTGTTTTGGTAATTGGAAATGTTGTATTATCATCATAGACTGTATAAAAATGGAAATTGCTAACTCGCTAGCTTGATGAAAGGAAGTTTTGCTGCAACTCACTCTGGCTCCTACTGACTTACATAACCGTTTGTTCACACTCATTATTTTTGCCTTAATAATTAGTGGTTTGGCGTTCTCTAGGATCCTGGGGGTTTTGGTTTTGATATTGACTTTGTAAATCCAGATATCAGACATAAAGATTGACCAATCAGATGCCTTCTCTTGCCTTGACTGTTACGACGCAAAGCTAACCACATCGTCATAAATGCCCATAAAGGAAACATGGCTCCAGCTAGCTTAAATGGCTTCTTCCTTATTTGACAAACACTATGTCAGTCCACTCTGTGATTATTATCGACCATTATTTCGGCAAGATAGTCCCACAGATATTTCAGTCCTAGCCTCATGGAAAAGAGGGGCTATTGTATTTGGCGAAGCCGTGATTGGAGAAACCGGAGCACCCAGAGGAAACCGACACAGACATGGGTAAAACATGCAAACTCTGCTCAGAAAGGCCCTGTGCTGACTGGGATTCGAACCCAGAACCCTTTTTCTGAGGAGTGACATCACAATCGGACCTTTTCTGAATCATTTCAAGTTGTTGATAGGTAGATAACAAGAAAGACCGCTTGTTTTATTACTTTGTCCTTTTAAAAGTGATTAATCAATAATATGCATGATTTAAAATGTTTGGCAATAAAGATATAAATAAAACATAATTTTTTTAGTTTTAGATATATTTTTGAAATATCAAATCAGATATCAAGATTGCTCAAAATGATCAAACATTCAAATAATTTCATACAATTATTGTTTCTTCTATAATAGCAAACACCAAAGTAAAGTGACATTTCTAAAGGAAAATAAGTTGATTCTAATAATTCCCACACAGAAAAGGCTCAAGTGTCTACAACCATTCATAAGAATCCCATAAACAGTGATTATCATGCATGTCCCTCGCTCATGCACTGGCAGATGTAGTGACGCACACAGGCCACACTGGGGCGCCAGTGTCCCATGCAGACTGCACGTTCTGCCTCTCTGCCTTTGCCAGTTCTAGGTCATGTCTCCAGGGAGATTATTATTCAATTATTAAATGAAGATCGAAACAGTGCTGTGCCATGTCTCCGGCTCGGAACGCAGTGCCTGGAGTCTTTCCTGAGTTTGATTCTAGCATTACTAATCGTACAAACATAAATAGGAATAATTTGCCAGCTCTATTACACTTTTAACACATCACACAGTTGCCTGCAGATCAGCATTAGAGCTGCAAAAAAGTATACTATGCTTCCAGGAGACTATTTTTAGCACAAGACAAAATCTACTACAAGAGGAGGCGCAGATGCAAATTGATTCAAAGGGAGCAGCTTGCAAAGAAAACATGAAGATCTACAAGAGAAAATGAAAAACCAGAGGCAGGGCAGCTCAGAGCATCTTCGACAATAATCAAAAATCAAAGCAGTGGAGATAAAAAAAACTAGGTGAGACTTGAAAGCAGATCGAATTAATCTGGCAACCTATTATCTTTGAGAGGGTGAACTCACAAGGCGTCGCGCTCTTGTAAACACGCACACACAAACATGAAAGGTGATAGTGACAGGAGCTGATACAACATCCAATGGGACTGGAGTGGCTTCATTATCCACGGGCAAAACAACACGTGCGGTACATTGGAGCTACAGAATACAGGCAAGAGGACATGATGCAAAAATTGGGAAAAATGTTTGAAGACACAACACATTTTGAATGTTCTTTAAAATAGTGAGATGTTGCTATAACGGACATTCATGGACATTGGTCTTCCTGCTCCCTGTAGATTCAGATTCAGATTCAGTTTATTTGCCATTTGCAGTAAAAAAAACACATTATTAGAAGATTAGTAGATCAATGGCTTCTATGTGTTTGTGGATTTCCTGTGTTCAGACCGTTAGATTCTCGATTACATTGAATTGAATTATGTTTTATCACAGTCAGTTATTAATCAGTTATTACAATATTTCTGATGGGGTTCAGTCCCTTCTTAATGCGATGGAGATGCTACTGTACGATATTTCTTTGCTTGGATTGTACAACTTCAGTATATACAGATTTTACTGCTTTAAAACTCTGAATTCTTACACAATGTACCCTCTGTAAATGTCTCCATTGTGAGATCAATAAAGTTTATATAATCTTATTTTACCGTCTCCACAGAAATGAACTGTTAGCCTTGTTAAGTCACTTGCAATTTTACAATGCAGATGTGAACATGCACTGTACATCCCAGTCAAAAGAAGGCACAATATTTACATATGGTGCCTTTAAAATACAAAATACAAGCATATATTTACATTTATTTTTAGTATGTATTCAATTATTCTGTGAAAATAGGGCGAAACGGAAGAACTATGCAAAAACTGTATCACCATTTTCTCATTCCATAACTGTAGAAATTATTATTTATAGACATTAGGTATTATTTACAAAATGATCAATACACATTCAGATTCATCCAGTATGATTACAGTCAGACAAATATGTGGGATATATTCCGTTTTGTGTTTTGAATTACTCTGTGCATTTCGGAAAGTAAATGAAAAAAAAAGCATAATTATGGAAAATGTATTTGAACATAACATATTATCATTGCTAAGTCTCCCCATACATGTCTCTCTTTGAACAGATGTTGCTGGCTTGTATGCATTGCGGCCTTCTTCCTGCATACGTAATGATCCCTCAGTACAGACAGCCACAGCTCAGAGGCAGAGAAATGTGGTGATGGACGTGGTTCAGTCTGTGGGAGAAACACGCAGGATTTATGGGCTGAGACGTGGGCTAGTCCGGGTTAAGAGCTGCGCAGTCTGCCCACCAGGGACCAGAGAGCGAGGAGAGAGCTGTGCACTGCAAAAACACTAATTGTGCACTGCTAAAATTAAATAAGTACACCATCCTCTGTTCATGCTGCTTTTAACTATTTTAACAGGCATTTTTTATTGCATGTAAGGCGACAAGTAAAAAGTGTGCCTAATACAGTGCCTAAGAAATAAAATGTATTATTAACTCATTGACTGCCAGCCGTTTTTGATGATTTCACTGATTCTCAAGACTCACAGAATAATATGTGCTATGACTATGTGAAATATGAAACCAGATTCTGAAAGACTGGATTGTCTACTTTCATCAGCAAAAATATGTTTGTTTCTTGCTAGTTTTGTTGTCCTGTAATCCTGACAGAAATCACCAGTCTCAGACAAATACATCAACGGCAGTCAATGAGTTAAAGTATTAGTATCAAGTTAACTAAAAGTGAATGAAAATGATGACAGAAACGAACCCCTGATATTTCTCACGTTCTCACACATTGCAAGCATCGTAATATTTCACAGCAATGTTATGTAAGTAAGTAAAAAAAATCTTTATTTATATAGCGCACTTCATGGACCAAGGTCACCCAAAGCACTTTACAACGGTTTGGAGTACCAATAGTTTTTTCCACACACTACACTCACGGTGAGGACAGAAGCGAGACCATTCACTCACTCCTTTCATTCAGAACTACTGTACACGTTTTTGGGAGGTAGGGGAACTCGGAGCACCCAGAGGAAACCGACTCAGACACAGGGAGAACATACAAACTCCACACAGAAAGGCCCAGTCTGGAGGTGGAATCAAACCCAGGATATTCTTGCAGTCAAGCACAAGCACTAACTAAGGACGTTTTGATAAAGCTAACAGACACTACCATGCAAAAAGCACACTTCCTGTTTCAATTCTTTGTAAACAGATGCAGACAATAACTAAGCATAGGTATACACGATTTCAATTATTACATGCTTTAAAACGTTATAGAATAGCAACAAAAGAAGAAAACTGAAATGAGTTTGGATCTTTTGGTTACACTGTAAGAATTTGTGTTTTAGTAAGCACAACTAAAAACATAATTTGCCACCTCATTTGTATTTGCATAATGAATGTAGACATAGCACCACGAGAGTTGCATTAATCCTGCTTCTTCCATTGGCAATACTGTTCTCACTGCTCATCACAGCCTTACTTATTACTAAATAAATCTTACTGTATTATTCAACTGTGATCTATCCTGCAAGAAGCTTTAGAACAACTGTGTGTGCATATTGAGGTCAGGCATTCTGGATGAGATTGTAAATACAGTAGCCATCTTACACAAAAGTGAAAGATTTACCAGCTTACATCGTGAGACCCTGCAGATACAGTATAACCACCTACACCTTTAATCTACCTGGAAACAAGTCAAATCCAGGTCTTTAATGTGAACCTTTTTGCAGTGTTTAAGTGTGTGAGGAGAGAGAGAAGGAGCTACAGCTAAGAGCCAGATCAAAGCAGTCTTGGATCAATGTCACTACAGTAAAAAGGCAGATGGAGCCCAGCGTATGTAGCCTGTATAAATCACAGGACGGAGCATAATGCCGCGGTTAGCCTCTGCCCGAGTATCATCTCCCGGGCCGATCGCTGCGTCAATAAAACACCCTGACACAAG